TAATTTTCATCTTCTTCCCTGCATTCCAGCAGGCTCTATCCTTTTAGTTTTCAGTTTCTTTCATTTTCGTTTTTTCAACATGGTATCAGAGCTTAAAAGCTCCTTCCGTCTGCATTTTAATTCTCTGTCATTTTCTTCTTCTTCAATAATGAAATCTGGAATGAAGAAGTTTGCTGGTTTCATTTCGTTTTTCTGCTGGTGCACGTTTTCAGCTGATTTGTTCTGTTGCTGATTTTAATTTCTGTTGTTGTTCTGTTCATCTATTGCTGTTGCTGGCCGTGTGTTCCTGCTGGTTCCATTTCGTTTCTGTTGCTGATCATGTCCGTTATGTGTTTGTTAAAATGCTTGTAGAGGCGCTAGTTTTTTGTTTTTTTTTTTGCAGTCCTGGCCGGAGTTTTGTTCTAGCATTTCCATTTTTTTTTTCACTCATCAATGGTGATGATGTATGTCTTCAGCAAATTCCCAGTTGAGAGCCATAGATGCTCCATTTATTCCGGTTTTTATGTTGCTAATCTTTTTCCTTCTGGAGTGCTTCTTTGCTGGCATAATCCCAGCACCTTCTCCAGCTCCTCTCCAGTCTGCCTTCTTCCATTGGCTTCTCCTACATCTCTGTTTTCTTCTCCAAATTCAAGATGTTCCATCTTGAGGGGGAGTGTTGGAATTGCATCTCCAGCTCGGCCAACAAGTTAACACGTCCAACACATGTGCTCCTTCCAGATCCTTCCAACTTCAACAGAACACGTTCTACATGCTCTACTCCAGCTCATTTCCAGATCCGTTTCAGCACCTCATTCTAGCCTATTGTAGATTCTTCTTAGTTTGTTAGATTGTTAGAATTTTCTCTATAAATAGAGCTATTATATGCATTGTAATCCTTAAGTTGATTGAATATAATTTTCATCTTCTTCCCTGCATTTCAGCAGGCTCTATCCTTTTAGTTTTCAATTTCTTTCATTTTCGTTTTTTCAACAAGAACTTCGATCTGCAGTTGTAGGAAGACAGATGCGCATAAAATAATTTTGGGGTCATTTTCCATTTTACTGATAATGGATATTTTTGGGTAATATAAAGAAGGAAAAACGGGTTGGATCATAAACCTGCCGGCTTGAAATTTTTTAGGGATGTTTTTAGAATTGAAACTTCTTTTTCTGATTGTGCTAGGCAAAGTTGACATGACATTGAGTAGAATAATTCAACGTAGATATATAAAATCGATACAATTACAGATTCTTAACAAACGAAGATTCAGAGACGAAAGAGTGAGTGATGAAGCAAAACAATGGATAGAACAAATTTATTCTTCAATTTCTTATTGAAGCCATAAAATAACTTAATATTAGTAATTCGTAATAAACCTAGCAATATTTAAAATCAGAAATAATTGATATCATATTTATATTAATGAAACAATTAATATATAACTAAAACAAATTTACATTTTCTGGGTGATACTTGGAAATTTTAATAGAGTCTCCAACTTATCGGATTATTAATAATCCAATCGAACTAGCATCTTAGGCTAAACTTATAAGCACCTCTTCTCATGCAACAAAAGTCAAAGAAAAGACAAATAATACCACCCGACAGGTATATAAGCCATCTTTACCTAATTGTTAAGTTACTTGTAACTGCATTCAGGGAGCTAAGCTCTCAAATCATATTAAAAACAGAGTAATGTATTCATCATGGGGGTTCACGCGGTAAAAATTCCTCCAAATCACGAAGTACAGTTACTATCTCAGTTTTGGAGACGAGAGTAGACAAACAATTCTCACAAACTTGTCCAGGTTGCATCGTTGAAATTTCTCTGTTAAATAACCCATTTCACTAGGACCATTCAATATTCGTGAAGTTCAAGCATCATTCGATCCTGGTACACAAAATTATTTGTTAACGTTACTAGCAAGAGGAAATCCTACTTCTTAAACAATGAAAATTGATAAAGAGGATGCTTGCATCAGCTAAGTTTTCAAACATGTTTATGTATGTTAACTTATTCTTACTTGTAAGCTTAGCCAAACATGCTCTTTAAACAATGATGAATAAAATTTCAAATACAAAAAATCCTCACCATTTTATATATATGCGGTTATCTGACACCTTCTTCAACAATAAGGATCCTGGGAACTCCATGAGGTTAATTTTGATCAAAAACCTTGATCCATGTATCCATTACACTGGGAATGTCAGATACAACGAGCTTCTTGACCTTCAAAGAGTGAACTGGATTAATGCTAACACGCATACCAGAAGCAAGAGACCCAGAAACACAATGTAGAAAAGGGTTCATTTTCTTAATTCCAGAAACATTTGCGATTTACTTCGTTCAAACTGAATTAAGATTTGAGATTCACTTGGGCTCAAGTTGACCACAACCTCTTAGTGCATTTCTATACTTGGACATCGATAAAACTCGGCAACTAGACACATGTTATACAAAGTGTGTGCATTGAAACAAATGCTTGAGTGCATTCCAGTAATTTAACATTGAAAAATATTAGGAATGTTTTTTTGAAATTTTAATGAAAGGAGAAAACGTACAAGAAAACCACTAGATACAAAGAAAAAGAAAAGACAAACCAGTTCAAACAAGCAAGCCCAATGAAATGAAAATGGACAACTAGCGAAGCGTATGAGTTCATCCAAATCGCCACAGTGCCCACAACTATCATCATTTTGATCTTTCTCATCGACTTGACCAGTTTGAGGGGTCACTTTTCTAGTGACCAGTCCTCAATCTGGCATGAGGTTAATGCCTTACCATACAAGATGAAACGATCGAGGCAATTTTGCTTCAACCCAAAACAAGCATGAATAATAAACTCAAAATGGAAAATTCTGTATTATAACACTTGCACAGTATCGTGCCCCTTGTAATCAAACCATCTTTCATCCATAATTTTTAGCTTCTGTAACTTACAATTTCATTTAGAGAAACAACACCCTAATGAATTAACCAGGATAACATAGTTCTCAGTTTAGAAGCTGACCACTTCTTTTCCACCAAATTCTTTGCATCCCTGTTAAGGCTCCTTACAAGAAATCTGCAACTGCCTTCTTGTTTCTTGTGCTCCCTCATGGGCTTGGATTTGCAGGTGGACCAATTCTTTGAAGATCTAATGATTTTGTTTTTTATAATATCTGAAATCAAGAGATTATCATCATCATTTCTTGCCATCTTAATGATGATATTCTCTTGATTTTACATATTATACAAAGCAAAACCATTAGATCTTCCAAGAAGGTCCACCTACAAATAAGCCTCTGAGGAAGAATAAGAAACGGAAAGGCAGTTGCAGATTTCTTGTAAGGAGCCTGAACATGGGTGTAAAGAATTTGGTGGAAAAGAAACGGTCGTCTTCTAAATTGAGAACTGTCTTATCCTGGAAATTACGCTTTGGTGTTGTTTAGCTAAATGAAGTGGTCCATTTAAGGAATGTAAAAACGATGTGGTGAAAGATGGTTTCGCTATTCGGGGGCGGGATATTATGCAAGTGTTGCAATGCTGTGCTCTACATCTCTGAGTTTAAGAGTCATGTTGGTTTTTTGGGCTGGAGAGTATTGCCTTGAACAGGTCAAGCTGATGAGAGATCAAAAAAATTTGGTGGATAAGAAGTGATCTGCTTCTGAATTAAGAATTCTATTATCCTATTTAGTTATTCTTGTGTTTTCTGGCTAAATGAAGTGGACGGGCCTTTATTTTCTTTGATCCAATTCTGCCACTACTAGATTCCTCTACAGAATACTCTTGAGCATTTAAATCAAGTTGGTACAAGCTAGTCACTTTCATTTCAGACATCTTTCTGGATTTTTTGTGAACCCTTTTACCATATCCAGAACAGCCTTCTTCCTGAGGTCCGTCTTTGTTGAAATTTTGGGAACTTGTATTGTTTTCTTGATGAGTCTCGGATCCTCCAAGCAAAGTACATGCATTTCCAGAAATGATGGGAACTTCAAACAGAATATTAGTGTTGTTGTTTCCTGAGATTTTTGGGTATTTTGCAGCAGGTCCACTATCTCTTGCATATGCCAAACTTCTCTTTGCATCAACCACAATACAATTTTTGAGTGAGCAAATTGTTATGTGAACGAGCACTTACCTTTGCAATGTGATCCAGAACAAGACAGCCGACATCGGAAATGAGCCATAGCAGAAGTAGTTTCTAAAATATCATGTTTCTCTTCAACCTCTTTAAACGTGTTTGATAAATCTTTTTGTAACTCAATCATATCATTCCACCTCTTAGAATCTATCAGGTTTTAAAGTTGTTAGCAATCTTTTGACAAAACTATTACTGTAAAAGAGTTTTTAAAAGTCAAAGTGTCAAGTGGTAAGTTAGAAGTCCTAGGGTTAGAGTATGGAACGAGGGGAAAAGAGTCGCCGCAATTTCACTAGCCTAATGTCCAACTGATGCTCGAGTGGTAAAAAAGAAGTTGCGTTGCTCGAGATGCTCGAGTGGTAAAAACGAAGTTGCGTCGCTCGGACTTCGCTTGAGCGACACACCGTAGCTTGCTTGTCGCTAAGTTTTCGCTTGAGCGACAGTGTATCCCGAGAAAACCTAATTCGCGTTTTCAAAGTTTTTATTCAGCCCATACTCTCTAAAACCTCGCACTACATATATGGACTCCACCATTCGAAAAAACATGAGTTGAACATTGAGAGAAACAAGAGATTACATTTTCCATCTCATTCCTAGAATTCAACCTGCATATTGAATTCATCATTGCATTGAAAAACATCAACTTCACATAAACCAAACACTAAACCGCCAAAGTTCTGAAGATCAAGGTGGCAGGAGTTCTAGTTGTTGGAGAACTAGAGTTCTCATTGATTCACAGGAGATAGATGAATTTAGAAGGTCAGGAGTTGGTGCAAAAGCACGCAATTCAGGATATCTTTGGTGATTACAGTCAGGCTTAGTCGAGTCTGACAGTACTGTAAGTTGATTCGTTTATAGTAGATTGTTACTAGCTTGTGCCCAGAGTTTTTACCAAATTATAGGTTTTCTTTGTTATCAATTTTCTAGTGTTATTTATTTTTCAATAATTTATTAACTACAGTAATTCAACATAGGATAGTTGTGCATGTGAATTCATTTGGCTTAATTAATAACTGTGACTTGTTGCAATTATGAATTGGTAAATTTAAATTCTGTATAAACACCTATTAACCCCCGTCTAGGGGTTAGTTGGGTCGAAATAGTAACTTTCAGAATCATTTCTCTGCACAAAATCAATGGCATCAGCCATCAAACTCTCACCACACTTGGACCAAGTTCTATGAAATTCACGTCTCGGTCTTCCTCCGGATGACCTGTAAACATATTCTCCACCATTGTATTTAATTTCCCTCTTGCATCTGCCAATCACCCACCTTGCAGCTTGAAGTAAGTGATTAATGTGTTTGCAGAGAAGAGGAACAGGGGCATTTTTAATTTCCCTTGGCATTGATAATTCATTTTCCTGTTTCCGGAAATAAGAGTCCTTCTGTAGAGGCTTGGCAATTAGATGATTTCTCATCTTGTCTTCAACTTTGATAGCTGGATCTACCACTAGAAGCTTGCATGCATGGCTCTCTTGAGAAACAGGCAAAGCAATTGCTATACTTACAACTTCTGTCATATCTATTGAAAGATAGTCTGTCCGTTCCACTAATTTCATAACCTCGGCATATATAACCCCTCACCAGATGATTCAATTAAACGATGTGTCATAGCGTTACAAACATTGTAAGAGTCTTCTTGGGACATTCTTGTAGCAACTCCTTCGTTGACAGATATATTCAAGATATCTCCTAAATCAGTTTTCCCATTTGGAAGAATTACAATAGCTAACTTTGCATCGTGATTACTTTGATTCGATGATGTTAAGTTTTCTGGGAGACATTGTAGTGGAAGTTTCCTCTAGAATTCTTTTTCGCATCAAAGCAATCATCTTGACTCATTGTCGACAAGTTTCCACAATGAAGCAGAGCTATATGTGTAAGGATTTTAATCGAACATGTGAGCTTATATGTGAAATATTGTGTATTAAATTAAAGACTATCAATTTTGGTTAAGCCTGTTTAAAGTGATCTAATAAGGTTTCATATTTTGGGCTTTGAAGCATGTAATTAAAGTATGGGCTTATATGTCCAGAGACCAGGCCTATTTCTAATTTCATGATGGGTCGAATTAGGTTAATGGGCCGTTAGTATCTATATAAAGTTATGGTCCCCGGATCACACGTGAATTGTTCATTCTGTTCTGACTCCCATCATTAGAGAGAAATAAAGAACTGCGTGTTGATCTGGAAGACTAAAATCGCATGATTCATCCATTGCGATAACCATGTCTGATTCAACTACGCTTTCCCTTCAGTTTACCAATTCTTGATGATCCAACATGAACGATCGTTATGATGGTAAAGTATTTTCCCAACAATATGTCCTATTTGCTCATAATAGTCGGAACCAGTAACAACACATCCTTTATTGTTGTTAACAACACATCATGCTCTATTGCCATTGTCATTTCTAAAGCACGCCTTTAAAAGAATCTTTGCTCATCGACTGACCCCCACAAAACCATCATCATACAGATCCTCAAACTCATTGCTAGATAACATAATTGTTGACCCCACCATTACTATATCTCAAGTATACTTTCAATAGCTATTAGCACATAAAAGATGAAATACTGACTCCTAAAAAAAAAATCCCACTTGAATGTCACCGAACGGAATCTACTACAGTTACAAAACATTACCGTAAAACGACAACGCCTAAAACCAGTATAGACACTACAATCTACTTTATATCACCAGTGTACTTTCCATTTTATACTCTCTACATAAGAGATAAACATAACACTAAATCTTAGGCGTGTGCATCTAAATTTACAAATGTAGTGGCCTTGAACCTGTAAATGTAAAAAACACAAGCAAAGATAAATAGTTAGACATCAAGCTATACAAAATTCCATTTGTTAAAATATGCAAATTCCAAAAATTTCAGAGAATTCGACCTCAAAAACTTCCATTTCCAAATCAAAACCCACGAATGAAGCAAAATAAAAATCAAATCTTTTGTCAAAATTCGTAGCTCCCATCGCCGATTTCAAATAGCCCACAAAAAAATAGCAACAAAAAATTAAAATTTACAAAATTGGTTAAAGAAAAAACACCTCAAAATGCAATAAAATTAGGGTTCCTCTGATTCTGAAATTAGAAGATTCTTGAATTGTAAGGCTTAGAGATAGTAAAAATCCGTGGTAACTAAAAAAAAGGAAGAAATTGTGGGTTTTTATCACCTTTTTCAAAAGACCCAGAAACTCACAAGGGCTTTGTGACCAGATAGGGCTCCATACAAGAAACAAGTTGCAAGCATACACTACGACATAAGCATCCACTAACATTAGGCTGAATTTGTTGTATATTCATCCAATTCAAAGGTTATTTCTACAAGATCTAAACTTGTCCTATTTAGATTAGAAAACCTATACAATTTTATTCCCATATAATTCGTAACTAAAAAAAGAAATCTGACTCATACAAATCATCTATATATTCTAACTAAATACAGAAACCTAACTTATACAAGACATTTATAGATTCAAAATCTCCCTTAAATTTGGCACATTGATATCCCACATGCCTAACTTGAATCATGATGTGTAAAATTGACCACTAGCAATTGAATGACCCCTATAAACCAATACTCATATGCTAACCAGAAGAACAACAAAAGACTCGTAACCAAGAGGCTCACATGGAAACAACATGCATAAACATCACATACAAATAACAACATATACAAGAGGGTGGGGAATCTTTGAACACAAAAGCCCTAAGTGCACATCCACAATCAACCGAAAGTAAGCCAAGAAGTGTCTCTGGTAAGCTGATGGTTTGCACACATAGCTAGTAAAAGTTTCATGTGCATAGAAAAGGGTCATTGGTGATTGGGTTTTCAAACTAGGGAGTCAAAAGGCATGGGAAGGTACGTCATCCACCGTAGATGTAATATTTGTACAAGACCCGAAGATAGAAAGGTGTTACAAATCAGGAGTAAGCGGCAAACGATAGTCTATCTAATTTGTCTGGACTCGGGTAGTATAATAGGGCTGGGTCAACTAATACGAAGGGCCGCACATAACTGGGAAAACGTTGTCGGAGGGTATCTTGTAGAAAATATAGTAGATGGGTTACACAAAACCCTAGGGCATACCCAGTGGTTAGTTCAACCAATGTTGGATTTTAAGCGCAAAATAATAGGGAAGTGAATAGAAAAATCAACAAAAGTACTTAACGTGGTTCGACGATGTGGCTACGTCCTCAAGGAGCGAAGCAGAGATTTTTTATTCAGTATAACTAATAGGGTTATATCATCAGTATTTATATTGAACCTAACACAAGCCCATAAAAGACTTTAGGGCCTGTACAAGAAAAAAACACCTATACCATACAGCAGGACGTTGTCCTTGCATCCCCAACCTATTCAGTATCCCTGGCAAACAAATAATGAATTAAACCTACAAGGCCGATACCGTCACTTGCTCCGTTCCGTTTGGTGCGCTTCGTTCCTCTCCGACATTGACCATTTTGATTCACTAAACTTGTGTTCCACTCTATATGAGCCACATGTACAACAATCTCCACCTTGGCAAATATTTATCCCTTAGGAGACAACACTAAAGCAAACATAACTTGGGGAAAACACACCATTTGGGACCAATAGGTTGGGACACATCCTTTCTAACACCTAGAGATGTTAAACAAATTCAAGCAATGCTTGACTACATCGATTGTGACTGATTTTGTCAACATGTCTGCTGTATTCTCTAACATATGCACTTTCTCTAGCAATAATTCTCCTGAAATAACCAACTCCCATATCTTATGAAATCTCACATCAATGTGCTCGGTTCTTGCATGAGAAATCCGATTCTTTTGTAAGAAAATGGTGCTCTGAATATCACAATACAACTTTATTTCATCTTGCTTGATCCCAAGCTCCTTGACAAGCCTTTTCAGCCACAATAATTCCTTGGCTTCCTCAGTTGTTGCCATGTACATTGATCTCTAACATATAGGCCCACCTGCAAGTGTGAAAACATAACCTGTATGGGACCTTTGGTCATCCAAGTCACGTGCATAATCTGCATCTACGTATCCCTGAACTAAAACATCATCATGTTGTCTCTCGAACATGATCCGACACTCCATTGTACCTCTCAAGTGCCTAAAAATCCACTTCACAACTCTCCAATGCTCTTTGTTGGGATTAACCATGTACTTGCTCACCCCATTGACTGCAGGTGCTAAATCTGGTCTAGTACGCACCATTGCAAACATCAAACATCCCACTGCATTGGCATGAGACACCTTTGACATCTGTGCAATTTCTTCTTCATTCTTAGGCACTAATTACTAGACAATTTGAAGTGATTTGCCAATGGTGTACCCATTGGCTTTGTATCAGACATGCTAAACCTCTCCAACTCTTTTTTCAAATAATTTTTATGAGATACCCATAATTTTCTACCATTCATATCATTGATCTCCATGACAAGAATCTTCATAACCGGTCCCAAATCTTTCATGTTAAACTTACTGCTCAACAAACTGCTCAATTTGCCTACCTCATTAACTTTCTTAGTAGCCCTACATACAACATCAAGAAAAAATATATGAATCATCCTCAAGAACTCTGTCTCATTGTAGTCTATCCCTTCCCTCTGTATATTCCCTTTCGCCACAAGTGTGGCCTTGTGCCTTTCAATGCTACCATCAGAGTGGTACTTCAATTTATAAACCTATTTGCACCAATTGCTACCTTCCCTGGTGGACGATCAGTGAGAGTCCAAGTCTTATTTAACTCGAGTGTCTATCTCTAAGCTCATAGCTTTACACTAATTAGGATTGTTCACAGCTTCATGATAAGTGTTAGGTTCAAAATGTGTGCAAATGGATGATGAGAAAGCTTGCTAATCTATGATAAGAAAGAGTACTGGAGAGGGGTAAAGCAGTACCTGCAACAGGATGATCTTTCTTAACAGAGGATTGGAGAGGTTGAGATGAGGTGGCCTGTTGGCAGTGGTACTCCAGCAAGAACTGGGGTGATATTTCGATTCTAGTAGACTTGCAGAGCACAGGAGGTAAAGGAGGTAGATTAGATGATGGCATAGGGAGAGAATCAATAGGCGTAGAAGTGGATGGTATGGCATGATCAAGTGAGTGTGTAGCAGGTGGGCTGGATGCAGGGTCTGGTGATGGTAAGGGGTCAAGAAAGATGGTTTACATCAGGAAAGATTGTAAAAGAGGTGTGCGAATTTTGTTTATTAGATAAATGGCTGTAAGTATGAATTCATTCCAACAAAATAGAGAAAGACCAGATAGAAATCTTAAAGCCCAAGCCACATTTAGCGAACATCGGTGTTTTCTTTCAACAATCCCATTTTGTTGAGGGATCTCAGCACAACTTTTAAGGTGAATAATCCGTTTAAGAGAGTAAAAATCTATTAAATTGAATTCGGGACCATTATGACTTCTCAAGATTTTCACTGTGGTTTGAAATTGAGTTTCAATTAAATTAATAAAAGACCTAATGAAATAAGTTGTATCAGATTTTCTCTGAAGCATAT